TTTTCTGCAATATTACTGAAAATTAATAAAAAAAAATTAGAAGATGTTCCATCTGCCCTATAAAGGTCCGAAACATACAAAGGTAGCAAGATAATGCGTTTAAGGCCTATACACAAAAGATAAATGTGTGACTTTTTAGACCAGAATTTTATCTACAATTAAAAACGGACATCAAACAACTTGTGAAAGTACTTATTTACTTAATGACAACGATCCAATGCAGACTTTGAAAACATTTTTAATGCATTAATGCTCCATCATTATCACAGAACTATTTTTCTATGTTTTCTGTAGCACCTAATACAAGCTATCCTCTTTCACATGAACTACATTAAATGTCGTGCTAGTTAGAAGTTATCTTTATTGCTGGTTGTTCTGCTCTAATGGATCCTTCCCATACAGACTACCTAGCAAACTTTTGTTGTGTAAAATCCTTGTTACATACATGGAAGGAGGCCATTTGAATGACATCACCTGTTAAAAGGACGCTACCAAAATTTTGCAAACGAACGATATCTCGGCTGTAATCCAATGGTTGTGCTCATTATCCCCTTGGGAGGATATAGCGTTCCTTTTGTACGTTTGAAATTAAGTATGTACTACGTATGTTCACGTTTTGTCAACGCTCTAGCGATTTCAGTCCTGTATCTTAAACCACAAGTGAATCCCATCATAATTACCATCACAAAAAGTATAATTGCATACGTAAATAACTTTTATATGAATAGAAATTTATTGGGTTGTTATTCCAGAGTTAGATCACTTCATTTCTTTACAACGTCATACGTTACAAAATATCTTGGTCTTGTGAAGAAGATTTTTGAAATTTCAGTCAATTCGACCCTTTTTGGCCCCACCCATCAGCCCCGGGGGGTCAGTCAGGGCTAATATGTGCATACTATCAAACTGCTACCTAATACTGATAATGCTAACCCAAATTGAATAACTTCCAATGGAAATTAAACAAATGTTGGTCCAAAATGTGATTTCCCTATATAAACTATAGGAAAGTTTACCCCCTGTCCAGGGGGAAACGTGAGACCCCAGGGTAATGAAATTCACAATTTTGGTAAAGCAACTGAAGACCCTTCCATCTATAAAGAGTATTTCATTCTACCACATCTGGGTCTTGAGAAGAAGATTTTTGAAATTTTATTCAATTTGACCCTTTTTGGCCCCTCCCCTCAGGCCCCTGGGGGCTTGGGACTAATTTTTGTTTGTTTGTTTGTTTGATTTTGTTTAACGTCCTATTAACAGCTAAGGTCATTTAAGGACGGCCTCCCCTGTGTGCAAGATGCATGCGTGTAGTGTATGCGTGTGTATTTTGGGAGGCTGCGATATGTTCGTGTTTATCTCCTTGTAATAGCGCGGAACTGATGCCGACTTTATAGTGCTACCTCACTGAAACATACTGCCGAAGACACCCAGCAGGACGCCTCACCCGGTCACATTATACTGACAACGGGCGAACCAGTCGTCCCACTCCTAATTTGCTGAGCGTTAAGCAGGAGACTAAACCGGCCAATATTTTTGTTGAAGGTTCCTGCAAAATTTCATTGAAATTGGTTCAGGGGTTTTGGAGAAGAAGTCGAAAATGTAAATTGTTTACGGTCGCACGACGGACGACGACGGACAAAAGGCGATCGCAATAGGTCACTTGAGACTTTATAGTGCTACCTCACCGGAACATACTACCGAAGACACCCAGCAGGACACCCATCCGGTCAAATAATACTGACAACGGGCGAACCAGTCGTCCCACTCCTAAACTACCATTTTTAAGAATTTTGCAGGTTATTCCCTTCTTAACGTTCACAATTTAGGGGAACGGCAACAACTGGTTCACCCGTTGTCAGTATAATGTAACCGGGGGGAATGCTGTGCTGGATCGTCGGCATGGTATTTCATTGACATGGTGGTCTGATGCCGACTGTAAAGTGCTATCAGATGAAGGGAAAATACACCTACATACCTTGCATGCAGCATACATACACACCTGCACGTACACACATGGACACACATCCTTAAATAACCTTAGCTGTAAATAGGACGTTAAACGATATTGATACTAGATATGTGAGCGGTGGTGAAAGAAGACCAGTGTATAAGTGGAACAATGATCTTATTCACACGTTTTTGAAATTCCTCTCTGCAAATGAAACCAGTTTATTTGTAGTGCAATAATGATGCATAAGAATGTTACACAAGCCAGTATTGATAGTAGCATGGATTTGTTTAAAGAAACAATACTGAAAACTATGCAGCGATTTCATGTACATGTAACCCGTGTCAGTGTTGAAAATACACTCTCAGTTAGGTGTTATAAAACAGCTATGTATATTAAGAACCCCTAAACTAATATATATGATTTCAATGTACATCGTCTTCTCTATACATTGCATTATGTATCGTGTACCGATGAGCCTATGGCCTAACGTTTTGATAAATCCTGAATCTCAAACATCAAAGGTTATATAAAGACGGATACCGAAATTGACTGCAGCAGATTTTTTTTGATCGCTTTAGCAAATTCCCTATTCTATAGAGAATTCCCGCATGTGTCGCCTCTTACGGTACTCTAATGAATTAGAATAATTATTACACCACCTTGTGAACAGATGCTTGGGTATAGAAAAGCAGAAGATCCCGCAATAGACAATGTATATTCATTTTGTATCCAACACTCATTAAGGAATACTATATCATACCTTTTTGATAAATTTAGTCTGGAGCATCCTTCGACTAGGGGGACTCAATGTTGTATAAGCAGTGGGTGTTGTCTCCCAGGGGGCAGAAGGGCGGGGCCTCTTGTTTACTTTTGATGTTCCGGGGCCCTTAAACCCTGAGCAGGAAGTAAACAAAATTAAATCCCATTCAATTGATGTCAAGATAATTGAGATACAGTTGGGTGGATATTGTTGCATGGGGGATAACTCCTATAGATAAAACGGCTGTCTGAAATAATTTAGTTCTTTAAATGTATAATCACTGATCAATTAAGATACATCATACAATCGGGTAAAACACAATAAAGGGCCCAGATAGAAAAACTGAATGTTATAGAGGCCTCACAATAACACACATCATTGCACATCTTTTGTTTTTAGTCCAAAAGTTGTAGACTGGGTTGTTGAATATTGAAACAAAATTTTAGCTATTTCGGACCAAGCATTTCGGAGAATTTGTATAATAATGTATGGAACATGCAGCAATTTCGGACGTTATGTTGTTGCACTTCAAATTTTAGCATTTTTTGCACAACCCATATTCAATTTTCATTGATATGAAAGATATATATTGATATATGCCTGTTAGAGAATTTTATCCTGATTAAAATGGTATATAACATTAAGTATATCCAGTTATTTCAACAAAATTAAGAAGACAAATCCAAAAGTGGTCGGATGTTATGTTTTTTTGCCATTTGATATACAAGCTGTGTTATGCTCATATTTTAATTTAATTTTAATCTATTTCTGATATAAACTGATGTTTTCCAATTGATATTTTATGGTAGTTACAGGAAAAGAAGATTAAAATGTGGTGTGTTATTAACATATTTGCATGATGAAGATTAAAGCTCTTTATATAAATATCTCAGAAATATGCAGTGTCCGTAACCAACTGAAATACTCTAATATAAAATCATATCTCAAACTACCTTCTTTTTTCTATTACATTGTAAAAGCTCTATCACTAACAATTGAGAAAATATGAAAAAAATAATGTATAACAATATTCACTTTGTCCCCAGAACATATTTAATGGTTACGGACACTACAAAAAGTCTGTAGTGTCCGTAAACAACATTATACTTCTTGAAGTTAGTTGCGTAATTTTTGTAACCATGTTAAATTATACAATGTTGCAATTAAGTGTCATAATTATATCATTCCTACAATGGATTTTCAGTCAGAATAATGACACTTGTGATGCAATAGACATGTGAATATCTACGATTCTTGGGTTCATTGAAGTTTAGGTTTTGATCAGTTCCTAAATATCTGCCTGGGACATGACAGGACCTTGCAGATTGTGATTTTTTTATGTTTGCAAGCTGTGTATACCTAAATGGTGAATTCAACAAGAAGTTTACGAAAAAAGGTAAGTTTGTCCGATTATTTTACATATGTAGTGATGTATGTATAAATGTAGTGTCCGTAACCTAATACTTGATGTAACACCTAAATTGTGCAACCCAGAATAATATTTAAACATCATGTGGGTTAAAATACAAGTGAAAACTTACAGTTTAATCACTTTAATGTAATATTGTATTTTTTTGTTAAGAAATAGCAATGATTTTGTTTATTTCAATTTTGAAAATTAGTTGCACATCATTTTATGTTGAACATTTTGCCTTTGAATAATGATGTGTTCCCATACATTTGATATTTAGCGAAGTATTCCAGTTTTGATAGCTATGTAACGGAATCAAGGTATTCCAATATAAACAAAGAACTAAGAATGATGTAAAAGTGTTACGGACACGACGTCATTGGGAAAACCCGCAGAAATAAATGACCAAGTGTAATTGAGACAATGTTTCATATGTTCACTTTATAGAATTTCCTGTTGTCCCATAGTTTACAGGTATAAAATTAATTGCTGGCTGTCAGTGCACCGGTGCTGGCCATATAATTAATTGTCTTATGTCCGATAAGGCTTAGAATATGACCTGTCGGGGTCAGTTGATGCTGAACTGTATTTCTTACGTGTTTGCATCTAATAATGATTTCATATGATATAACACTGTATCCATGTTATTTGCCAGTCCCAGATCATGCCTTTGAGCTAGGCACACATCTATGTTAAACCTTGAGGACTAATACAACATTTAACACAATGATTGGTGTTTATTATTTGTATCGGAGAGACTTTAAAGGTAACAACTATAACGTCAAAGTTTGAAAATCAACATTGCTATTAATGCTAAGCTTGGTATGTTTAACCATATGTAGACAATAATTTATCATATTTATGATCATTTCGGGTATATAATGGAGCTCAGATCCTCAAAAACTCAGGTATCTCTGGATCCTGCTACGCTCAAAAAAAGACAGGCAAACGCTACAAAGGTAAAACGATGGAGAGAAAACCGGAAAAAGGATAAGAACAGAGATGAACAACTTAAAGAAAAAGACAGAAACAGAAAACGAGAAGAAAGACATAAACAACGAAAGGAAGCAACTCACAATTCCATGGCGTTGGAGAATCTGAAAAGAAACAAACTTGAAGAAGTAAAGCGGTATCGTCAGAGAAAGAAAGAAAAAGAAGTAAACAAAGTTAGAGAAGTTGAACAACACACAGTACTAAAGGAAAAGAAAGTTATGCAAAAGAAAATGGTCATTCAACGAACACAACAATGGAGAATGAAAGTAAAACTAAAAGAACATGGACAAACAAATGAAGACCAACCTACAGCTTGTGATATTACAGATGCTAGTCCTACTAGAACAAGGTCTTATTCCTCACGTTTTGCGAGATATAGACAGATGAAAAAATTAAAGCAACTCTGCCAAAAACGCCAACACGAAAAGCTGAGGTGATTAGTCAACTAATACACTCTCCTTCAACTTCCAAGATATTAACAGAAAAGGGAGTTATTACAAGTCCTGAATGTAGGAAAAAAACTATATATAGCTAACACCATTCTCCAAACATTGAAAGAAAATATTTGTGAGGCAAATGAGCCAAATAGCAAACAATCAGAGAAAAAACATGCGTACAACATAATTAAATCTACGATAATGAAGAATGAACCATTGAGAAAGAAAACGTTTTTGAAAAAATAGTTCAATTTTAAATCCAAAGCCAAATCAATAAAGAAAGACTGGTGGAAAAAATCAATTAGAAAGAAGAGGAGTGATGCCTTATCAGAAGATATCAAAGAAACAGTTAGGGACTATTTCTTGTCAGCAGAAGTGAGCAGAGAAGTACCAAACAAAAAAGATGTAGTTACAATAAAGAAGTCGATGGAAGTAAGGAGACACTTCAGAAGCACACCATGACATTGACACTGGAGGACGCCCACAAACAGTTCAAAGTTTTGCATCCAGAAAAGACCATAGGCTTTAACCACATTTAAGAAATTGAAACCTGTTAATGTGAAAAAAGTCTCCGAAACCAGTCGCAGGTCTTGTCTCTGTCAAATATGTTGTAACTTGGCATTGAAACTAGATGCACTGAAAAAACACATGAAATTAGTGGACACAACAGACACAAAAGATTTGTTTGCAGATATTATTATTGAAAAGGATTCCCTCTCATCAATTACACTTTGCACGTATCAAGATCAACCATATGCCGCATGTCTGGGAAGGAATTGTCAGTTGTGTAGCACTGACAGTATCATTAACTACTTGAAGCCTGTGAGTGAACAGAGTAAAGATGTTAGTGTACTATGGTACCACTGGGAACCAATACAAATTGAAAAAGATGACAAAGTGAAGCGATGCATTTCATGCGTACTAAAAGAGTGTTCATTTGAGGTGTTTGTGGATGAACTTAAGAAAGACTTAAAAGTGTACCCGGAACACTTGTTTCGTGCTACATGGCAGCAGCGGCAAATGATTGCATCGAAAATCTCAAACCTGGATCTGTTGCCTTGGTAATGGACTTTAGTGAGAAGTATGGGTGCATGTTTCAGAGTGAGGTTCAGTCACGTTTCTTCGACAGAAAGAAAGTCACTATCCACCCGATGATGTTTTACTATAAAGTGGTAGACAAGTCTGAGTGTACTGACAACACAACTGAGACCTTAGTGAAGCATGCTGTCATCGGAATCAGTGAAGACACCAAACATGACGCTGACGCTGTTCTAAAATTTGAAACTGAGGCCCTGCAAATTTTAAAAGAGAAAGTCATTGTTTACAAGAAGTCCATGAATAGACTGATGGGTGCGCAGCCCAATACAAGGGGAATACATCGTTTGCAGATATTAGCCTCAGGAAAACACCCAAGGTGACAAGAAACTTTTTCGAAACCAGTCATGGGAAAAATGTCTGTGATGGATTAGGGGCTATCGTGAAAAATTACTGCTACCAGGCAGTCATCAGTAGCAAGAGGGTTATAGGGAGAGCGGAAGATGTATATGACCATTGCAAAGAGAGACCCACATCAAACAGTACGACAACAAAACTATTTAGGTTTTGTAAGCTTCAAATATCAAACTTTCATAAAATACCAAGCATTCATTATTTGAAGAACCTTCATTTTTCACTGTCAGAGCACACAGTTGGGCCCATTATTGTGTTTTACCCGAATGCACTCTTATATACAATGTCTGCTCGTATATATATTTATTAATCATTATTCATATTTTTAAGTAAGGTGTATAAGGAAAACGTGGCTGGAGTTTGAACCACGTATTTGACCTATTACACTGTATCAGTAGATTGGAGGAGTGACATTTTTACCTTTAGTTGTATACTTCATATCGTACATGAACTTCATGTAAACATATTGAGTGAAATAGCCTTTCCTATATATCATGTCCCGCAGTCTCGGGAATCTTATTGACATAATTCCAAAAAACCTGAACAATTTTTCGTCGTTGCATAATATCCTCGTACAATCAATTATATTGTGTTAATAATTATAGATGGTATTATTATAGATTTTCTCAAATGTTGTATGAAGAAAAGCCTTAAAAGGCATTTCATTTTCCATTGTTACTGTGTTGAATAGTGCATCGCACATCGCAAACTTGGTTTGAGAAACTAGCAAGATATATCTAAAGAATACTGATTACGTACGATGTTTCAAGAACGGGAACGGTCACAATCGGCAATCGGACATCTTCCCGCTTTTGGTACAGCTAAGCAGTAAAAAGTCCATGTCATGTTGGTAATGTTGTTATCAAAGTCATTTTTCGACTCAGGTATGAAAAAAGTTATTTTCTACCCCAGACCTTGACAATTTGCAGGAAGAATAGTTACACCCCCGCAACGAAGATGGGACGGGGAGGTGTATATTGGAACCAGCATGTCTGTCTATTCGTAGACACAATTTGTCTGGCTATGTATTCGCCCTTTTTTGCAGATTCCGGAAATTTCTGCCCGTTTTCACATCGTTTTATTATAATATCCCGATGTGCTTTGAATAAGCATAGAAACTGAAGCGTATATGTGACTGTTTCCTGTTTCTTTAGCGAAAAAATGGCAGAAAAATGTGCTCTCGATGAGAAAGATAAAATTAATATCTCAGGTCACGGGATCAAAAATTTAAACCAGAATACATAGAATAACATTTCCATTGTCAAAATACAATTTACGTGTATGCGGGGGTAATACTTGCCACCCCCCTCAGTAACAGATCTAGTAAAACCCTGTATTATGGTATTTTACCACTTACCAGAAAGTTTGTGTTTACTAGAGCTAAGATAAGATAAGAAAAGGAAACCGTAAAGCAGTAGAAATAAGTTTAAAAAAAAAAAAAATGGTCAAAATGTCATATTTGTTTCAAAATACGGATTCTTGACCAAACCATGCAGTCAGGCGGAAGTTTAGCAAATCGGAAGTACTATGGTAATATGCAAAGCGAGACACTAGTTGATTTTCCGGATTTTGCATAAAATAATTAGAAAACGATCAGATGCCCTTCCGGAATACTTCACATTATAAAAAAGATATAGAGATAATTTATATAAATGATTTAGATGTATTCCAAAGAAAATGCAGCAACAAACTACAGTTTAAGTATTGAATTGATAAGACAAAAAAGATACGGGTATTAATATGGTAGTCGTCTTTTGTGGAACGTTACGTCATAATACAAAACTTACCGGAATATCTTGTAAAAGGAATTCTCAGCAGCATCTTATCCGACACACAAGGACATGAAATTTTACTGACACATTGTGCACACACTTAGGATACTAGACACGATTTCAAAAAATGATTATACTGATCGGTGGAACCAGAGGAGTCCTTCTCTGGCGGCAACTCGTGACCCTAAAGTCAGATACCGATCTCATACACATATATTACACTTGCCACAGAGTTCCATATAATCTGTCTCTTAGTTTCTTTATGTTATGTTGTCTGCCAGATATTGATTAGTTAGCTCTGTATCGTATGACACTCTTTGTTTCTTTTCGTTGGTTATACCTGCAAATATGCTTTGTCTATACTAGATGTATTTTGCACTTTTAAGTTTATACACTTCCTTACGTGTTTCTTTGTCCATTTTTGTCAAATCCTAAAACTCAAAACTTTTCAGATTGACACACACATCAATCATGAACTGACGTTGCTCTAGTTTACATTAATTTTCCGATACGTGACAATATGGCGGTGCGAACTGGATTATGGAATGACTGACTTCGAAGTCCATAGTGCAGATTTACCGTGAAATTCAAAATGTTTATTTTTGTTTACAAAAATAAGGAATGGTATATCAATCATCAAAAAAGTCGTCTCAATATAATTCTAAATTCCACATCACATAATCCTCCACACATTGAATCACTTGTGATACATATTTATGCCATGAATGGCGAGGTAAACTTTGCACTGTCGAGTCGCAAGTCGGTCAAACCAACATTGTCATTGTGGATTTGAAACATTTAATTATTATTTGAATATCATTTTCATTTGTCAGTATCGATGTATTTTAGAGAAAAAAAACAGAGCTTCCAAAATAATCGTAGATTTTTTTCGGACTTCTTCGGTTTTCTTCGGAGATTTACTTTTTCTGCTTCTGCTGCTGCTGAAGAGAGCTGATATCGACCACAGTGGCTTGTATAGACTTGTATGATAAAATTAGCTTGAAATACCTATATATAAAGACTTAATATATAGGTATTTCAAGCTAATTTTTATCATATAACTTTATACGAGCCCCTGTGCATCGGCTATCAACTGCTCGCATTTTACGCCTAAGAAAAGATCTTTTCAGACCGTAAGTAAGCACACAAATATGTCATGTCTGCAATTGAATACATTGAGAATGCATTTTTCAATAGCAAATCTTTTTCAAAATGATCGAGAAGTGAGGAGTTAGACGTTTCGTGTACACTATGCACGCATGGCCGCCATGACACTATTTACATTGATCACATAGAAACTATGTCTTTTAATCAACTTTACGGAGCAAGGAATCTATGCCCTATACTAATATAGAATTTTGAGTCAGCAGGTATTTATTTCAATGTGTTGAATGATAACATTTTAGTGTACCTTGAACATTCAGTAATTGGCACGTCGGCTATACATGCATATCGGACCCATTTGACAAACAGTCGCCATGACACTTTTCGAAGAAAAAGCAACCCATTCTGTTTATTTGCACTTAGTTCTTCATTAAATAACATATTGAAAAGAAATCAATGGTAAATACAGCTTATATATAACACTTAATACCACAACATGGATAGTATTGTCACATATCAGTTGTATATAAACTATATTTTTGTATTTCGTGCGAGGGTTAAAAGTGCACGTTCCGGATGTGGGTATGAGAACGAGGTGGAGGACTTTGAATACGCGACAATAACAGGTCGCTTGTCACCGTTACCTGCTAAGAACGACTATACGGGATATATACTAACGAAAACCACAGCTTTCGGTGAGTGCCATACCCGTCAGGACATTGTACTTGTATTTTGTAGTTCATGTGCTATTTTATATGATTTGCTGTGAGATAAACAGCCATAAACAAGGTCGTAAGCTGATCTATTTATAGAGTCGCTATCGTACAGGTGTGTACAGGTGTTTACAACGATTGTTATTGTTTGGATATTTTGTAATGTTGCGACTATATATCATGTTTTACTGGAACAATACACTGTACCGTAGAGACAGATATGATTTATAACTTCTGAAAAGTTTATAAACGGGTACAGTATGTTTTATAGGGTCACGTGACGTGTGTGTTTACCATCCATTGTGGCTTATAGTATTGCGCGCAAAGCGATTTTTCGATCTTTTCCACTAATATATTAGTTTCAGCGTTATTTTGTTGAATATAATTAAACTGAACTTATAAAATGAAAGGGAATAGTTAGTGATTAGATCGCATTAATTATATTGTAGTTTATTCCCGATATTGTTGAGTCAGATGGTGCCGATGATTTTGTTTGTTTGTTTGTTTGTTTGATTTTGTTTAACGTCCTATTAACAGCTAAGGTCATTTAAGGACGGCCTCCCCTGTGTACAAGATGCATGCATGTAGTGTATGTGTGTGTATTTTGGGAGGCTGCGATATGTTCGTGTTTGTCTTCTTGTAATAGCGCGGAACTGATGCCGACTTTATAGTGCTACCTCACTGAAACATACTGCCGAAGACACCCAGCAGGACGCCCCACCCGGTCACATTATACTGACAACGGGCGAACCAGTCGTCCCACTCCTAATTTGCTGAGCGTTAAGCAGGAGTAGAAACTACCATTTTTAAAGACTTTGGTATGTCTCGGCCAGGGGACAGAACCCAAAGCCTTCCTCACAGGGGCGAACGCTCAACAAATGGCCAAAAGTGAGGCATTGTCAAGGGAGACATTAGGAAAAAGAAAGTTATTTAGAAAGGAGAGAAGAGATAAGGTCCCAAATTTAGTCGCCTCTTACGATCATGCAATTGGGGGCAGCAGGTACAATTCTTACGCCCTACCTGCAGGGCAGTGGTGCCGATGAGGTCATTGTGTGTCTGGGTTAGCCTAAGATTGTGGTGGCGAGTGATAGCGGTGCTATTAGCCGATGTATGATGAGGTAAACCAATGGTCCATGCTGTCCGATGAGGGATGAAGGACCAGTATGTATACCACCTTCACTGATGCTGGATGTTTTCCACGGCTATGGAGTGTGAAGGCATGTGACTGGTACATGTATCGTTGTACGCTGAAAGTGGAACTCTGCCCGCTAGTAAAGGGAGACGGTGCTGAACTAACACTGTACATTATTTGTGGAATACTGCCCACTTGTACAGTGGTAGACTATAGATCCTGACGTTAGATATATATATATATAAATTACAGCAATATTGGAGCACAGCCCATATGTAATTTAGTTCTGCTTTGTAATTTAGTTCTGCTATGTTATTTAATTCTGCTTTGTAATTTAGTTCTGCTACAATGTATGTAATTTAGTTCTGCTATGTAATTTGTTGTGTTCTGTCAAAGGTGTGAAAGAGTGTGAGAATAAGGTGCTATATGTAAACTTAGTCATTATATGTAATTATACATAAATATGTGTGTACTGTAGGACAGTCGTTAGTGTTTTATTATCTACATAGATAGACAAATGCTCATCCCGTTACAAGTACAATTAGTATGTTATGCACTCTTTAAAGTGTACCCGGAATTGTTTGCAATATTAAGTTTGAAAATACACCACTTCATTAAACAGAAAGTCGAGAAAGCGCGAACGCCATCGCGACTTTCGTTTCAGAGTAATGACGATATTGCTTAAAATCTCACCTGTGGCCCTACAGCGATGACCCCGTTTCGGTGTCCCAGACCTGTGACATCACAAGTTCACCGCGGTCAACTCAACCCTGTTATATTTTACCAAAGAAGAGCGAAATGTACTGTGATATATGCGACATGTCATGTAATTAAAACGACAAGTTTACACACCCATAGACGTGTTTTAACGCTGAAGTATTGTGGAAGGAGCTCGTATCGAGAAGGAATAAAACACGTGTTGTGTATGGATGTCGGAACACGTATGCAGATAGTGTCTCATTTCCACGAATTTTCCTTGAACTTATCAGTGTTTAGAAACAATGCGTACAGTTTGTTGAAAGTGGGAAAGACCTACGAAATGTTCCTATTGTGTTCAAAACACTATTTGAGGGCAGCTCATATTCTATATAAACTAATCAAGTCGTCCCGGTCCAACATCATACTCGTTCACACCGGCCCCTAAAAAAATGTGATGACTGTTTTCTTTAACGACATACATAATTATATTATATCTACTGGAACATATATATAGTTTGAATATATATTTGATGTAATACAAATGAACTACGCCTTTCATTTTATCAAGGCCCTTTATGTAATACTAGCTGCGAGCCATGAAATACCACGGACTTGTACATATATAATATGTTCGTGGAAGTACGAAAAGATTTTTTTCAGGAAACGGGGGATGCTCATAGGGTCTACTTGTCAGCAGAAACATTTACAAATGGTAATTGGTTCATATATATACGTGTATGTGTTAGTCGGTGTCTTGACTTTTTAAAATCGTTTACGAGACAGCTCAATATAACACAAATTAACAGACTAAATATGGCTGACGTACAACTAACAGTGATAATTAACGGCACTCAAAACCAATTTTAAAACTTCAATAGCAGGTTAATTGTTTATCAGTAACACTATGATTTTTTGTATTGACATAGGGTTGATTTAACAGATAAACCCGAACCCGTATAAGGCAAACCGTGACTGACATGCGTATTGAAAACGCTTATCTGTTGTAAATAAAATGTAAAGTATACATGGCATTCTATTTAAATTTAAGCTACAGTTGTAACACTTTTTATTACCTGCATTTTTATCATCTTCACCATATAATCCAATTCCTCAAAATCCGTTTTCAATTCGCAATCTTACCCCGTACAGCTATCATTCTCTACCATACTGGCTGCCGGTGGTTGAACTTGTGACATCACAGCCCGAAAAACTCTCATTCAGCAGTAGATAGACAGGTGCAAATTGCGCTCTTCGGGGATCGATATCTCGGTATTGGTTTTTTTGCATCATATAATCGATTTGGTAGTTAAAATACAATGTAATTACAAAGATGCAACTTCTTATAGCAATTTTTTTTAAAGGGTCAATGTTTTCAGGAAGATTATAAAAGATCACTCAACTAACAAATTCATTTATTTTACAACTTTTGAGTACATTTAAAATCCTGTTTTTGTGTAGATTTTGTATTTATATTTCCAAACATTCGAATGTTATTAACAGATATTCTTTTACATATTTTATTTACCAATATAAATCTTAAGTCTTCACAATGGCATGCTATTCAGTTACCACAAGCTACATTCACAGTACCAAGTGATATTGGAAAACTTTTGCATAGACAGGGGCAGCACATTTGATGCTTATAATATAATCATAAATGTAAAAATACAATATCTGTATCACCTTTATTGTTTGTTGCATTTTCTTTTGTTAACTTGTTCTTTATATTAGAAGTCTTAACCGCGCTAAGATTATCTAAGGATGCCATCAAGTTTGTAAAATGTTGTTCTATTGTTTGTAAATTTCATTTGAAATCCCCCACTTCAATATTTTATGATAATCACATGTATAATCAGATTTAGCTTGATGGTGCCCTTAAAGCTTAAAGATGATGTAAATTGACAACGTAATATGTTTAGCCTTTCAGGACTTTTAGTACTTTGATTATCTCTTGTTGAGGGTGTAAATGTCAATTTACAAATGATTGTTCGTGGTCTGATGTCAAATCGCCCGAACCAATGCGCAATGTCTGTCATTTTTCTTTAAAACTACCTCCAATGTAACTCTCACAAATGTCACTATTTTGTCTACACATTCCTCGACTGTTTCTTTCTCATTAGTTTCGTTAAGGTCACACTCCGGATGCACCTTTTCTTGCTGCTCAAGATCGTTCAATTTGTATACTAGTCCTGTATGCATACTCTTTGGCTTGTTGTTCTAATTTGTCTACTTCCTGTCTCAAGGCACCGTTCTCTTTTTCGAATTCCGAGAATCCCCCTTCGAGGTGATCGACGAGCACACGGGTTTCCTCAATGATGTCTTCTATCAATATATATATAATTTTCTAGGTAAATAAAGTCTATTACCTGTAACTGAGCGAGATCGGGTTATCTCAGTCAAACAAATGAATGACGTAAAACGTTCATGTGCCTAAGGGTTTTTCAATTGACGTAATTTAACCATTTTGGCCAACACGTACTGTGTCACCAATTCTGAAGTCCATTATAATACTGTCAACAGTCGATCGAGCAGACGGGAATACATTGAATAATCAATAATCGATGACCTAATAACACAATTGTCAACAAATGATGACAGGTATTTTGTTGTGTACAGTACAGTTAGTGTAACATACCGTTCTGCACTGTATCTTTAAGTGTGCGGGATCGCATTTTTATTAGAATTAAATGATTAATATGGAACGTTATTGAAATATAAACAGCAATTTTGATAACGATTTATAAATATTAAATATTAAATGTGTAATTTGGATATAAAGTCATCGTTTACCGACTACGACAGTCTTGTGTGATACAACTGTTTACAAAACAAACTTGCGTTTGCGCGCGGATGAATACATCTGTGTAAAAATTCCACGAAAATTCACTTTAAGGTTGCAAGACAAATCGGAGGATAGAAAAATCTAGTATGAAGTATCACGTCGGGTATGTCGGTTTTAGGTGAGAGAAAAGTTTATCGCAAAAAACTTATCAACCCTATCTTTTCCTGAGGATTCGAAAGGTCCTGGTTTTTGAACCTGTCTATCCAACACCGACACTAGCTCTAGATCCAGGCATGGTTGTATAGCCCAGTACAGAATGTATATAAGGTATACATGTACATGTAAGGTATACACGTACTAGGCTCGCGT